CTCCACAGATCCCCAAAGGAGGGTGGATTAGTCACAGGGGACAAAGCCTATGCCAGGAGGCTCTGGCATCCAGCAGTCTCAGGCTTGCCCTGGGCTTTTCCTCTTTGAATTCCTCTCTCCAGACTTGGCACCGCTCACAGGTGTAACGGGGCATGGCTGATTGAGCCCGCAAGCTCTCCCGAACCCCTTCCTGGTCAGAGGGGGCTGCAGACGCCATCACACTGGGGGCTGTCTGGGGTTGGTCGGAGATGCACGATGGCCAGCAGGCAGCTTCCCCTTCATAGGCCTTAAGGGAAGTGCTGGGACGCTTAGAACATAAGAACATAAGAATGGCCATACTGGGTCAGACCAAAGGTCCATCCAGCCCAGTATCCTGTCTGCCAACAGTGGCCAATGCCAGGTGCCCCAGAGGGAGTGAACCTAACAGGTAATGATCAAGTGATCTCTCTCCTGCCATCCATCTTCACCCTCTGACAAACAGAGGCTAGGGATACCATTCCTTACCTGTCCCGGCTAAGAGCCATTCATGGACTTAACCTCCATGAATTTATCCAATGCTCTTTTAAACCCTGTTATAGTCCTAGCCTTCACAACCTCCTCAGGCAAGGAGTTCTGACACCTCTGGCTGGGTTGTCTGCGGAGTCCAAACCCCCATCGGCCCTGCAGGGTGACACGCAGGTGGTAGCAAAGGCTCCTGCTCTCAGAGGGTTGCCTGAGCCCCGTCGAAGGGCAGGGGGCCTGACCCCGGAGGGGTGCATTCCCAGGCTGGAGAGGGGCACGGGGCCTGATGCAGGAGGAGTGAGTGCCCAAGCTGGAGAGGGGCAGGGGACCTGATGCCTAAGGGATGCTTCCCAGGCCGGTGAGGGGCAAGGGGCCTTACGCCTGAGGGGTGCGTTCCCAGCCCGGTGAGGGGCAGGGGGCCTGACCCCCGAGGGCTGCATTCCCAGCCCAGAGAGGGGAAGGGGGCCTGACACTGGAGGGGTGCGTGTTCAGGCTGAAGAGGGGCAGAGGGCCTGATGCCCAAGGGGTGCATTCCCAGCCCAGAAAGGGGCAGGGGGCCTGACGCCTGAGGGGTGCATTCCCAAGCCGGAGAGGGGCAGGGGGCCTGATGCCAGAAGGGTGCGTGCCCAGGCTGGAGAGGGGGAGGGGGCCTGATGCCTGAGGGGTGCGTTTGTGACCCAAACACCTTCAGGGTGTGGTGTTCTGTCCCATCTCGTGGCACCGAGACCACTTAGAGAGAGAGATTAATGAGTCTGCTCTACAGCCTTAGCTAACAGGCTTTTAATTCTTGCGGTAGAGGCTCATGCACCAAGCTCCAAAGACTCCAGGCTCCAGAGACCCTAGGTTCAATCCTGCCCACTGACAACTGGGGTCTGTCGCTGTTACAAACACGTTCCCAGCCCGGAGAGGGGCAGGGGGCCTGAGCCCGGAAAGGGGCCAAAGGTGCAGCTGGCCCTGTAACTCTGACAGAGCGGGGGCACTTGGGGCACCTGCATTTCTTCCCTATGGGAACCTGTGACCAGGAATACGGTGCTTTCTGCAAACAGCAGATTGTCTAACAGCAGGGACAAAGAACTAGAGGGAGCAGGATTTTCGAACAACTAGTGTACGTGCACATGTCTGACCTAGAGCCCTACTGTAACCGTCCCCAGCAGGAGCTAGAGAGCCCAGCTTCTCCAGCCAGCCCTCTCCCAGGCTCCTGTGTCTGCATGTCTTTTCCATCTGCTTCCCCCTCCCACTGCGCTGTCCCGAGAGCAGCTTTTAAATCCTGCCCCGTTCTTTGTTAGTCTCAGCAGGCTTTGTCCTGCCTGGTCAAACCAGTTTTGTAGGCTCAGCAAGTGATGGAGCAAGAGTCCCCAGAACTAAGTGCTGGCAGCACTATCCCCATACCACCGCTTGAGCCACCTCCATCCTGCCCCACAGCTCCCCTAGGGAGAGGCACTGAGCTACAGAAAACACCAGGCCAACATATGGTGCAAACAGATTATCACCGAGCAGCTCTCTATTCCTCACGCTGGTCTTCCTTTTCCAGAGAACAGGGCCCAGGCAGGCCCCTCTGCCCAGAGAGGGGTTTCACCCCTTGTGCTGCTGAGAGGCACGGGGCACACAGCCCTGGAGAGCGAATCGCAGTGTTTATACACAGGACAGGCCCAGTGCAGGCAGGGCAGACTTCCTCACATGACCTTAGGGGAGCCCTCTGCAAACCCAACCAGGCCACGGGTCAGCTGTGATTGGCCAGTGTGGACACTTCTGCATTAGGGACTGGGCTGACACCTCCCGGTACATAACACAACACACACACACACTTTCTACAGACCAGCCAGCAGGTCACAATGACCCACGTTGGATCTGATCTGGTGTTCACAATGTAAGTGCCCCCCCGTTCCATCTTCCATGCTGTACCACCACAACTCCCAGAACAGGCAGGGCTGGAACAGGCTGGCATTATAAATCAGACACTTGCAGGGTCAAGCCAGGACACATTTTTGGACTGGTCTGTACTGATATCCCCAAGTTTTACCACTAGATGGCAGCTCAAGAGCAATTATTTGTACTGTATTACTAGATGCCACCCATAAATCAGGACCCTGCTGTGCTAGGCGCTGTACGTACAGACTCCCTGCCCCAAAGCTCTTACCATTAAAGTCCAAATGACGGGCTGGCCAAACTGCAGCTGACAGACTTCTGCAATGTATCCTGCAAGGGTGTGGAGCACATGTAGCATTGCATTCTGGGACTTGTAGTCTTCACAGGCTGCAGCTTCATTGTAAGGCTGACGCTCACACATCTGATGAAGTGAGCTGTGGCTCACGAAAGCTCATGCTCAAATAAATTGGTTAGTCTCTAAGGTGCCACAAGTACTCCTTTTCTTTTTGCGAATACAGACTAACACGGCTGTTCCTCTAAAACATCCTTAAACAACATCCTCTATTTCATGCGAACTAGGTGGGAACTTGGGAAGCTGCCAACGCACACGGTGACTCAGCATTCCCTTTCTCTCACACTGCAATGGAGAGATCTTCAAGACACTCCAGTCCTGACCCATTCCTGGCTCCTCCTTCCTTTGATCTGTACCTCTTTGCACTTTGCCACCTGCCGCCCTTCCAGTGCATTGGCAGCACTTTGCTTTGCTTCCCACACACTGATAAAGAAACTTCTGGAAAGCCTGCCTGGGGCTTTTATTACTGGTGTTTGTATCTATTGGCTAGAGCAGGGGTTCTCAGACTTCATTGCACCAAGACCTCCTTCTGACAACAATTACTAGAGGAGGGAGAGAGAAGCCTGAGCCACCTACTTAAACCCTGCTGCCCTGGGTGGGGGGGGGGGGAGCCTAAGCCCCACCACTCCGGGCAGGGGTGCCAAAGCTGAAGCCCAAGGGCTTCAGCCCTAGGCAGGGGGGCTGTTACTTGAATTCTGCCACCCAGGACTGAAGCCCTCGGGCTTGGGCTTGGGCCCCGAGCGGTGCAGCTTGGGCTTCAGCCCTGGGCCCCAGCAAGTCTAAGCCAGCCCTGGTGACCCCATTAAAATTGGGTCCTGACCCACAGTTTGAGAACCGCTGGGCTAAAGCAAGGACTGCTGAACTCTGATCCCAACTTTCCTACTAGCTCCCACCTTCAGCTTGGGCAGGTCATGTCATTCATCTGTGCCTCGGTTTCCCCATCTGATGAATGGGAATTATGCCTCATGAGGGTCTGAAAGTAAAGTGCAAAGCCAGATCGGTTAGTCCAGTAAAAGCTGCCTACCATTTCAAGGGCACCATTACGGAGCCCCTGTGCCTTCCAGAGACACCTACCCGACCTACGCCCTGCTGGACTCTCCCAACCAGACCTCTAGGGAGCTCCCATTCCCAGCATACACAGTATCTCTCCATTAGCATGCCATGTGCTCTGGGGACCTGACAGTATCTGCCGTGATCTGCAATTTGGAGCCTCTTCCTGGCCCATTGCTGCACCTCCCAATCCCAGCTGTCGCTGGAGAAGTCCCACTCCATACTACTCCCAAGGTCTTGCTCCACCCCCAGGACGTTCTGCTTCGCTGCCCCACACACAAGGGTTGGCTGGGGGCAGGTGACTCCTTGGGACTAGACTACCCTGGGCAGGCATTGCCCCACACTGGAGTCCAGGTCACGGGGTAATTCAAGGCAGAGCCCCAGTATCTCTCCTAATGGGAGAGCCAATGGATGAGCGACATCTCCCCTGAAGTGGTGAATGCAGGGTCCCCTCCGATTCTGGCCACTGAATTCCAACTCATAGTCATAGAGCGTAAGGCCAGAAGGTACCCCCAGATCATCCCATGAGATCTATCACAGGCCACCAACACCCACCCACTAAACCCAGCAGCCGATGGGAAATGAGGGGAACTTGTGACAGCAGTGGCGGGGACAGGGTCTGCAGTTCGGCAGCAAGACCCGATGTCCCTGTTTCCCTGAATCGGTCTCCTTTGGGAACAAACACAGAAATCCCTGCATGCTGGGACTCATCGCCATAGATAATTTACAGTTCAGACATCACTAAACCCACCACTCTGCTCAGCCAGACTGAAATGGGAGAATGCCCGTTAGTTGTGATGGCATTAGAGAAACAGGAAGTTTCAGTCTTAGAGCCATTGTTCTGGACACACTAAGAAGGCAACAATTATAAATTGGCAGTAGCACCTGGAGGCCTCAGCCAAGAGCAGGATATCTTTGTGCTAAGCACTCTGTGTACTCATAGTGAAAGACAAACGTTGCCCCACAGACCTTACAATGGGAATAAATAGTCAAACAGAGGGTGGGAGAAATCTGGTATTATCCCCATTTTGCAGCTGGTGAATTGAGGCACTGAGAGGTTAAATGACTTGCCCAACATCTTCCAGGACGTCTCTAGCAGAGCCAGGAATTGAACTCAGCCCACTTGAGTACCGTAAGCACAATGTCCTCTTTAAAGTGCTGTGGGCCCAGGGATTCCGTAACAGCTTGGGCTGAAACACATGCTCAGATAAAAAACAAAGCAAGACATTAAAACTGTCAGTCCGTGCTAGTAAACTTTATTTACAGTGTGCACCTGACCCCAGAAACAATCAACACACGCCTGTGATGTGCACGGTCTGGGCCGTAACCAGGGCGGGCCAAGTGGGGCAGCTGCCCAGGGTGCAAAGCCGGGGTGGGGGCGGAAAAATGTGTCAGAAAAATGACAAAACAAAACGATACAGGGCACAAATAGGCTTGCTCGTCCCAGGCCTAGTTACGGCTCCATACATGGTAAGGATCCCACTGCGTCTGAGCCCTTCCTGCGCGCTGCCTGGGATTGCTGGCTTAGTCCAAGGCTCGGGACTGTGTTAGCACCTTGACAATGCTGCAGGCAGGGAAGGGTTTTCCATCCACGGGTTTGCAGTCTTCATGATCTCACTCCACTTGGCTTGGACAGAGTTTAATCAGTTTAATCACTAGAGGTGGGATACTCTTTCCTGCGGAAACTTCTGTAACCCTTTCCTCATCATGTTGACTCAGTTTTTCTTGGACGGGCTGATACTAGCCAAAGGAGAAACCATGAACTGAGCCTTCCCCAGCCTCTCTCCAGGTCACAGCCCAAAGGTGACCTGGCAAAGTGTACAATACATTAGCCTTGTGTTCTTTTACTGCTTCTTTATGATGGAGAAAGACGGTCTGAAAGGGTTTGTCATTGAAAAAAAAAATTCTGCTTTTCACAATTCAATTCAAGTCCTGTCTAGCTTGGAAAGATTCGATGGTGACAGGAGAACTTGCGAAATGATGAGATCGCAAAAGCCAAGAGAGCGAAAGCTGAGTACCTGAGCGGGTGAGATGAAGGAATGTCTAATCAGACTGTTTTGGGGGGTTTCGATGGGAGGATGGGGGTGGTTTTCAGGCATATTTAACTCCAATGACAAATTAACATTCTGAAGAAAGGCTGCCTTTGCCGCTAAAGATCAACACACCCAGCCCTTCGCTTCTGCTGTGAGAGCTCACACTATATATCCCTGAGGCCCCCCGCACCCGTCAACAAAACCAGGGAGACCAGACATGACCGTCCTGAGATTTCTAAAGTACAAAACAAGCAGGAAAACTCGCTCTCTCGCTCTCCCTTTTTGCAATCATAAAGCAGCCAAAAAAGAGCAAAAGCTCCATTTAAAAAACTTCCTTTGCGCATCATCTTTAAACTTCTGTCCTGGGGAACGAGGACAGCTCGCTCAGGTTTCAGGAAGACTATAAAGCTGTAACGTGAAGCTGCCCCTGGAGACAATGCACTGCTTTGGCAGGGGGCACTCACACTGCGTGCATGCTGATGCACTTTTTGCTGACTGAAAAAGAATGGGAAGAAACACGTGGGTGGATTCACATATAGCTGTGCATAGACGTGCACACACAGAGCTTAAAGCCAGGCCCGGTGCCAGCCCCCCCTGGTTTGACGGCAAGCCTTGCAATGTTCTGTATACACATGTACGGGTTTGCACAAATTTTGTTTCATTTTTGCCTTCCAGTTTAGCCCTGTTCTAAATGGCGGCCATCTCCCATCACTGTCAGCAGGGCCAAAGCCACAGGCTGCCCTCAGCAAGGTGGCTGCCATGTCCCTTTGACACTGCAGGTGAACAAACACCTTCAGTTCCCCCAGCAGGAATGGCCACCACCTCCCATTGCTCCCAGCGGGGAAGAAGCCAAGCTGCCCGCAGGAGTGGGAGTGGCCATGTGAGGGTCAGGCTGGAGAATGTGGCGACCCGGGAATGGGGCTGCCAAAGGGGACAGGGAGGGAACGGTGCGGTGCCAGACTGAGGTGGGGTGTGGCTCAGGCGAATATGGGGAAGTAGAGGGGAGCACGAATGCGGAAGCTGCCCATTAGGTAGGGAGGAGGATAGAATGGCAGCTCCCATGCCCCAGGGATCGGGAGGGAAAGTGGAGGCCCGGCTGAGCAGTGAGGGTGTCTTATGGGGTCATGTGTTGCAGGTTGGATTTTAGGCCTAATGGGGCCGGTGAGGGGGGAGCTTTCCCGGAAGGGTGAGACCCTCAGATAGTAGGTCTATGAACACTAGCCTGACTGATCATAAAATAGCTCCACACCCTTGGGGCTGGCCATGCCGGTGTCACCCCTCTGCAGTCAGCCATTCCTACCTGCCACACCCTGCTTGCTGCAGACCCTGACATGCTCCCCTCCCCAGCCCGGTACCCAGCCCTCTAAGCACACACACCTCTGTTTGCATAGCCACAGCCTTTGAAAGTTCATTTCCTGGAGGGAGGGTGGGAGCCCTGGGCGCTGTTTACCTGCCTTCAGACCAGAGTTTGAGGCACAGGAAAGTTTCTCTGAGTCGCAGCATCATAACACACTAACTAGCCAGGACTCAGTAACCCAGCCTCAGCCCCAGCCCCCGATGCGCCTTGGGCTTCCAGGGCCCAATCCAACACAGGTTGAAATCAATGCAAAGTCTCCCATTCGCTTCAGTGGGCTTTGGATTGGGATCCCCCCATTCCTGACCTCCCCGCCCTTCTGCGGCTCACTCACAGGTTGCTGTACACCCGGGCAACAGGCAGCACCTTCTGTCCCTTCCCCTCCCGACATGTCCTGCAAGGAACGCCCTGATTCCCTGCAGCAGCACCTGGGCCCCAGCAGTAGCCACCTGCAGCTCCTGGAGCAGCAGCCAAATCAAATACACACAGAAGCCCCTGGTGCATGGACATGCCAAGAAGGCTAGGATGTGGGGGAAGAAATGCAAAACAGCTGAGGCCAAAGCAGTTCCCCCTGTGCGACGGGCAGCCCCGGTCCCTTCCCACTACTTCAGTGCTGATGGTTCCCACCGTACCCCCGAAGGTGCGCATGGCTGATAACGCTCTGTTAGGCCGTACTGGTCACGAAGACCATCTTGGAGGAGTACACCAGGTCGACAATGTAGGCGATGAGGTTGAAGAAGGTGAGGAAGGTCACGCCCAGCCGTCTGTTCCAAAAGTGAAGGCTGTCACCTGAACTGGGTCTGGGGTTCCCTCTGAAGTTGAAGACGGGCCAGATGATGGCAGCCGTCAGGTACAGGAGTACAGCCAAGGCGTTGTAACCCACCAGGACTTTCTCCAAAGGGAAGGGAATGTAGGTGAGACACCGGCCGATGGTGAGGATGATGATGAACAGCGTGACAATGAAGCAGATGCTGTAGACAGCTATGCACCATAGCTGGCCGGGTTCGGTTTTATATGTCTTGGGTTCACTCACCAAGGAGAAGATAAGACAAGCCACGTAGGCTTCAAACACCTTCAGGAGGCCAGGGACAGTGGTGAGGAAGCTGCTCCTGTCTCCAGGCCTGGCTCGGGTCAGTCCAACCTCGATGGTGTAGGCAATGAAACAGACGCAGGACATGGCTGTAGTTGCTGCCTGATAAGCACATTTGTTGTCAGAGCAAATGTCGGTGATGAAGGTGGAAGGGTATATGATGGAAGAGGTGAAGATCATGAGCACCGCCAGCATGGCGAAGGCGCTGGTGAAGTCATCCCAGGACAGCGGCAGCTTCTCAGAAAAGCCAAACAGCTCCAGCACCACGATCAGCATGGACACCAAGAAGCAGAAGCACCAGGTGAACATGCACCAGGTCCCATAGGTTCCTTGGAAGTGGCCGGAAGCAGCCGCCAGACTGAAGGCCGTGCAGGACAGGAAGATCTCAAAGAACCGGACAATCCCCACAGGGATGATCAAGGAGCGAAAATTCAGCTCGACGACTGGCATGATGCTCTGGGCATGAGAGAACCCCAGCAACCTGTGCCAACTGCAGCAGCCTTTGCCTCTCAAACTGCAGAGCCAGGTGGGAAGGCAAGAAATTCAGGCACTCTCGCCCACAAAGCTTGGCCCAGGCTGGCATGCACTAGGCGTGAAGGGCTGGAGCGGGTCTGGAAGGCTGTATTGTTAGAACAGAGTGTGAGGTGCCAATCTTGGGCACAGCCTACCTGCCCAGCTTGCAGCACCGCCCACGTGGAGCACCAGGGAGTGGATGCAATTGGAGTTTGCTCTTATCTGGGCAAAGGGGGTGGGACCCTGCTCCAGGGAGATGGAGCTAGGGAAGAAACACTTAATAAAATGGCCGATTATCTGACGCTCTGCCTGAGCCCAGCCTGGAGTGAGCAGGAGGGTCCCACTCACAGCACTGCTCCCCGGCTCTCTGCCTTGCACTGTGCTGGCTGGTGAAGGGCTTCTTCGGCATCCTGGGGAATGGCTGCCTGGCTTACTCCTGGAGCTGAATTCCAGGCGGTGCCCCCGTGCTCCCTCTCGGCTCAGGGCAGGGCAGCAGCAGAGTAGATCATTCACAGGGGAGTTGGTTAAAGAGCAACTCGTGGTGTCGCTGCAGCTGACTGGTTCCTGGGAATTCTGTGTAACTAGATCGCCTGCCCCCTCCACTCACACGGTCATGCTCCAAAGCTTCTGTCCACACAGACTCACACCTCCCTGAGCCTGCTGCCCCCCCCAGCCCCATGGGGTCCTTCACACCTGGGCGAGGTGCGCGTGTATGTGTGCGGGGCTCACAGGGCTGATTCAGATTTCACCCACGCTGGTGTAAATGAGGAGGCACTGCAATGAAGTCAACAGGGCTACACCACTGCACAGCTGGGGCCAGGGAGAATCAGGCCCTAGTACCTGGTAGCAAGTGTCGGTGGTACAAGGTGCCATGCGTTCACAATGGCTGCTCACCTCAGAGCTTCCCCCGCAAGCCGGTTCCCCTGAGCTGGGCTAGCAGCTGGCAGCCCACGTGCTTACCTTCTCTCTGTAAAGCAAAGGGGGGGTGCATGCCAGGAGGTTCCCACCTGCGCTGAAGGGAGGTGGAGACAGCGTGAGGCTGCGTTAAAGCCTGTGGCCCTCCAGAGAACGGGAGGTGCCATCCAGGAATGTGAAGATAGCTGGTGTTCTTTGCAGCTGGATGTGCTTGAGGCTAGAGGTGCTACCAAGCCAGGTCCTGAGCCTGCAGCTGGCTCCATGTAGGTGCCAGGGGTTGTGGGTGCAGGAGCGAGGCCCTGGGGTGCGTGTGGCAGGAGGCTGGATGATGCAGTAGCTGTTCCAGGTGAGACTGAGGAGGTTCGGGTGGAGTAGTGGCCCTAGGGGATTCAGCCCTGGAGCGATCCAGGCTGAGTTGGTGCTGACTGCCCCCCCTTTATCACCCTTGGGAGATCTCCTTGGCTCTCTTCCTCCTGCACTTTCATTGTAGGGCTAGGCCTAGGGCTGCTGGGGTATTGCACATCAGGAACTATTAACCCCTTCTCCCCCACAACTTGTAATCCCATGTAGTAAGAACTAGCAGGATGAGGCCTATTGCCTCAGCTACTGGGCAGAGGCTGTGAGTTGGGCGAGGACCTCATTCATCCTTCAGCAACAGCTTTGGCAGGTGACGTGAAAGGAAACCTGGCCCGAGCTGAGCTCGTGGGAACGGCTCTTTGCATAACCTAGTGCTTCACGCTCCTTTGGATGCTGGCCTGAGAACCTGACACGCCAGCCCCTTGTGGGGGAAACAGCCTTTACTGTAGGAGGCTGCCCTTTGGCACACTCTGTCTGTGGGTTTGGTTTGCTCTGTGCTACTCGATGAATTTTGTTCCTCACAGCAGAGCAGGGTCCTCCTGGCTACTCCCTGCGTCCCAGTGGAGAAGGGACTAGCTCTTGAGATTGAAGCACAAGCCTGGGTGCAGAACTCCTGGGTTCCACCTGCCTGCCTGCCCTCCACCCCATCCACATCCTGGGAGTTCCCAGCTGGTGGATGATAACATTGCTGGGCTCTGTCAAACACCTGTTGCATTCTACCCCCAGAGGTGGCGGCATTTCACTGCTGGATGACGGGATTCAGGTGGTGTTTGCACATGCCTTGGTGGGGGCAGGGCTCCAGAATGTGCGAGGTTATTGCATCTGGGTTCCTGAGGGGTGGAGGGTGGTGAAAGGAGGAGAGCAGCATGCTCCTGGCACAGGCAGTTGCATGTAAAATGGCCCCGATCCTGGAAACTCAGCGCTTGGGTAACCAGCTTGGGCACCTGGGGCCTGATTTCCAGAGGCGGGGCTGTGTGGCTGTGGCTCACCTTGCTATCAAGCTGCAGGTAAGGTACTCAGCCCCACTGAAAACCAGGCACAGGGGGTCACAGGTTGGCCTCCCCAAATCAGTGGCTGTAGCATTCCTGGGTGGGAGCTCTCTCTGGCTAGGGGAGATGGAGACACCCAGTGAGCGGAGGGGCCCACTGGCTCATAGAACCTCTCCTTGCCCGCAGAGCTAGGGCAGATGTGATAAGCAGTGCTCGTCCCTGCTGGCGCACTGCTGGGAATGAGGAGCAAGCCAGGTGGAGGCGCAGGCTGGGGCAGGGCCAGACTCCTTCTCTGCTGTTTGCGAATAATTAACAGGGCCTGCCAGCGGGACAGTGCAGTGATTGGAGAGAAGAGGCCGGTGCTACCCCCAGAGCTGGGAATGTGGAGGAATGCAGCTCTGTAAAGGGCCCCACTGCTCTGGATGAAGGGAATGGCAGGACTAGGCCTGGTTTGTCCCTGTCCCCCTATTACCTCCCGCTTGCTAGTGGATTCAGCCTCTGGGAAGAGGTAGCCCCATTTTCCAGATAGACAACCTAGGTCCAAGGAGGGGACGAAGCCCCTTGGTAAGGTCGCCAAGCCAGGGACCATTGCTTGGTGCCAGACCCCTGGGGTTTCCTCTCCGCAGTGAGCAAACAAGCTTTGCAGGGGCAGACTTCACACCGTCCGCGCATTAACTGACCTACCAGAATTGCGGGCCAACCCCACGTTGGGACCCAGCCTAGAGCAGGGATTCACCCGAGAATAGTGGTGCAGGGTCTTACGCCCTCCTTCCTGGGGATCTCCTCTAGCCTGGAGGCCTAGCCTGTTCCCCAGGGCAGGCAGCACAGTGGCTGGGGCTGGAGAGCCCCTAGCATGCTCCTGGTAACCCTGTGCAGCCCTTGTACTCCGGGGGAGCGGCAGGGGCTGGGCTGGTGGGAGCTGGTGTTTTTATGCCCTGGCGACCAGTCTGCAGTATTTTATACTCTCTTTAGCAACCAGTGATGGGCAGTGAAATGGGCCTGCAGCATGCTGGCAAAGGAGTGGTGGGACCATTTGGGGAGCTCCCAGCAGCACCATTCAGCCCCAGCTCCTGGCCAGCCCTAAATGGGCAGGGGGGTTGGGGTTGGAGGCAGGCTCTGCAGAGCCCCATGGGAGCGTATTAAGAGCTGCCAGGCAATGCAGGGAGCTGCCCTCCTTCCCACTCCTAGACAAACAGGTCCTGCGTGGAGCTCTGCATTGGTGGCTTGCACATATAGCTGGGGCCAGCCGTGCCAGCTGGACAGTACCCACCACAAGGGCTCTGCTCTCAGCTGGGGACTCTAGGGCAATTACCCCAGACCCAATACTTTCTGCCAGCTGCCCTTACAGGTGCATTGGCCCCTGCTGGCAAGAGGTGGGGAGCAGAGCCTTGCAGCCCGAGGGGCCAGCCTGCAAGGGTTGGGTTCGGATTGGGTCTGCTCACTCCTCCTGCCCGGGGGGTCAGGGAGGCAGCAGCCGTGTGTCCCGCTCCTGCCAGCTGCCACCAACTCACTGTGCCGATGCCATGCGGAGTGAGTGTGCTGAGGAGCCCACAGCACCCACAGTGCAGCGGGGGGTTGGGGCTGGCAGGAATGGGGCATGCAGCAGCCTGCTGTGTTGACCCCACGGGCAAGGCAGCTGGAGACGGTTCATGGGTATGCGGTGTGGGGAGCAGGGACAGGGGCAGGTGTGAAAAGGACTCGACTCACTCTTGGGCTGGGTGGGGTCAGCTGTGCCCGAGCAGACCTCTAGGAAGGTGGGGCTAGGGAGCAGGGTGGGGGAATGGCCCAGGGGAGCTGGCTGGAGGGCCCTGTGGAGAAGGCGTCTGGCAGCGTGGGCCGCTCCAGGCTGGCCAGGGCATAGCCCCAGCTGACCACTGCTGATTCCTCTGTCCCTGTAAGGGGCTGGCTGCAGCCTTCCCTGTCGGGCTCGAGGCACTTGGCCTGTCGGGGAGCTTAGTCTGGCTGATGCCCCAGGCAGAGCACAGCTGGGTCGGGATGGGGGGAGAGGGGACTCTCTGACTGGAAGGAGTCTCAAGAGCCCCACTGCTCATTCCCTCTCAGTGGCAACGGCTCAGGGCCCCCAGGCCTTTTTAGCCTCTAGCTCCCCTCTGGGGAAAGGCCAAGGGTCCCTGTGGGGAAGGGGGTCCAAACAGGGATGGGTTAGGCATAGACGCACAGGCGGCAGGAAGGGGACCCTGGCTGAAGCACTGTACATGGGGCCGGGGTGGGAACAACTCTGCATGGCTCCCTTCCCTGTGGGGGGATGAACAGGGGGGACACCAGGCCAAGGTTGCAGGGGGATCTTTAATGTGTGACCAGAGCCTGCAGCGAGAGAACGAGCCCGAGCCCCAGCCCCAGCTTTTCAGAGGAGAGTAAATGGCCAAGCACCGCCCGCCCTGCGGGCTGGGGGGGATTCCCCTGTGATACCCCTCGCTCCTCCTGCTGCCTGGAGCTCAGCCCCAGCCCTGGCCCTCCCACCAATACCTCTCCCCCTGGCTGGGACAGCCTGCATCCATCTCCCCACCCCCCCGGGCTTTTCCCAGCCCATGTGTGTTTTGAACACACAGTGCTGGTGACTCTGCCCAATGGGCAGTCGGTTGGGCCTCCGTCCCTCTCTGCTATTCCCCAAACCTTAGCACTGCCCACCCCACCTTTTCCCTAACCCTGTGGGGCAGCTACTGGCTCTAGCCCTCTGTAGGATGGGTCAGAACCCCGAGAGCGATTCCACGAGGCTGTCCCCTAAGGGCATAGGAGAGGCTGGCTGGCTGGGTACCTCCATCTCCCAGAGCTTTGCTCGCCCCCAGCAGGAAGGGCTGGCTCTGCCTCCCCAGCCCCAGAGCTCCCTCGACCCCACAGCAGGAAGGACTAGCTCTGCCCCTCTCACCCCAGGCCCCCTCTGCCCCACAGCATGCGGGGCAGTGTTCTACTCCAGTCCCCCTCGTTGGGGGATGCAGGTGCAGGGACTCCCAAAGGAGCTGGAGGCTCAGGGCAGCAGCCCACGTGGGGAAGACCAGGAGGGGAGGCGGTTCTCAGCAGCGCAGGCCTGAGGCTGCCCCAGTCCTGGGGACAACGGCATGAGGTGGGAAAGGCCCTGTGCCAACACACCTTCCTGTGGGTGCGTCGCGGGGGGTCAGGCCCACTGGCTCCAGACTATGCCTCTTTGGTAGGGCAGGGCTCCCTCTGGAACTGGGGCATGCTTGTCGGGGCAGAGGTGCACGGGGTGCGTGTGCCAGGAACCTACGAGCTCCATGCAAAGTCGCCAAGGGGGACGGGCGTGGGGGAAGCAGGAGGAACGGATGGGGAGCAGTGGGGCCCCTGAGGCCGCGCCTGGCACGGCCCCCCAGGAGTCGCTCCTTGCTTAAGGCTGTTGCATGGCTGGAAGGTGTTGGTGCATCGGCAGAGTCAGTGTCTGGCCCAGCACTAGGGCACTTGGGCAGGGCAGTGAGAACAGAGGAGCTCTGTCCACGGGGTGGGGATCTCAGCTCCTCCTCCCTTCAGCCAGTCTGTGGGCGCTGTCTGGGAGGAGGACGCCCTGCTCTCACTGCTCAGAGGTTGCTCTCCACCTCGTCCTTCCCCAGCAGCCTGTTGACGGGGCTCAGCGCCAGCTGGTTGCTCTCGTTGAGCCGCTGCATGCGGTAGCTCTCATAATGCACATTGTGGGTGATGTCCTTGAGATCCTGCAGGTGGGAACTGGGGCGGGTGGAAAGTGAGAGTTAGGGGGGTAAAGGGGCAGGAAGAACAGCTCCAGCCGGGCCCTAGGCCCTGCAGCCAGAGGCCCCCAAATAGGCTAAGCTTGTGCTTTAAAAGCCATCCCACTATGAGGGGCTCCAGCCCCCTCCCTTTCCCTCCGGTAGCACCACCCCCTCTGCCAGTCCCCCAAGGGCTGCCCTCACTGTCCCATGGCTTCCCCTCCAGGATCCCAGCCCAATCCTGCACTCCCTGCTGAGTGACCCAACCCCAACAGCTTTCCCTGGTAGTGGAGGGTGCTGAGCCCCACACAGGGATGGGCTCCCAGCTGGGGCCAGGCCCTCCCCAACCCTACCCTGCGTGCCTGGGGCTGTACCCCTCTCCCTGTGCGTTAGGGGGGTGGGCCAAGCCGGGCATCTCACCGGATGAGCAGGTCTCGGAGCAGGGGGAATTCACAGTGCGCTGGGTTCTCCACTGAAAAACAAGACACAGACTAGCTGTAGACCCTACCACCCTGGTGGAGAACGGGAGTGACTCAGATGCCCAAGGAATGCATTCAAAGCCACCCTGGTCAGAGCAGCACCCCATGTCCTGCCACCATCCCATCCCCCGCCTTGTCTTTTAGCTGCATCTTGTCCACTCTGTCCCTTACTGGGAGACTAGATCCTGCCCTCAGAGGAACCTTGGAGCCCTTCACTCCTGCTGGGGAACTGCAAGGAGGCAGGTGGTCACTAGGGGGCAGCAGGCTCCTATGTATGTGCACTGGGTAAATGGCAAGGGGTGGGGGAGGGCGGGAAGGCAGGGGCGACATCCAGGCAGCTGCAATCTCAACAGAACAGCGGCATCCCTGTGTTCAAAAGAGCAGCCCAACTCCAGGGTGCTACGTCTAGGCAGCAGCCAAAGCATGGTGCTCCATGAGGCCTGCCCGGATGGACTGGGCACAGCAACAGGACCCCAACAAGCACTGCAGGGGGACCCAGGAACAGCCCCGGTTTGCACGTCTCTGTTGGGGATCTAGTCATGTCTGAGGGTTGCATGTGTGTTCATACGTGGAGGCGTGTGTCTGTGGGGCTGCTCCTGAGGGTAGCTATGTGTCCAGTGGTGTTCAGAGACTTTGCATGTGCAGTGAGAGTCTGGGTATGTGAGTGACAGGGAGCACTCACCGTGCGTGCACGTACAGGGGTTGTGAACACGGGGGGAGGTGGGGGAGCCCTGCGATAATACAAATAAATACACAGTAGCACACGTATGATGGCTACACATGGGTATACAGGCTTGGACTACCCGCTGACAAACACCTGTCGGGGAGGGTCTAGGTTTACTTGGTCCTGCCTCAGCACAGGGGGCTGGACTAATCGGCCGCTCAAGGTCCCTTCCAGCCCATGTCTTTCATATTACGTGTGTCCCCCGGCGCAGTTCCACACACACAGCGCGTGCTTAGGGGCTCATGTGTGTCAGCCTGGCTTTGCATGGGTGTGGGAGCGCCAGGCCAGCTCCCCCCTGCAGCCGTGCCAGTCCCCTCCACGCACGGTGAGACGCTGGCGAGCTCTCCCTCTGGCACGGAGCAGCAGCTGGGAGCCTTCAGCCAGCGTTCTGACGGGTTACCTGGCAGCGCCGTGGCCGCACGGTTCCAGCTGCCTTTGATAAATGAAGAGGCCCCTGGTAACGCGCTCCAGAGAAGCTCTTCCCAGGCCCCAGCTGACCCCCAGCACCAGCCAGGCGCAGGTGCAAGGGCTCACAAGGGGAAAGGGCTTGAGGCTACAGCAACTGCTTGGGATGAGGGGGGAGGACGGGTGGTCCCGTTGCTCAGACTGCAGGAGCGCAGGCATGGCAGAGCACCACAGCGTCCCTGCCTGCGGATGAGGCCCATGGAGCCCAGCACACCCTACACACACGGTGCTGGAGGGTGGCGGAAAGCTCAGGGCCGTCTGGCAGATATAACGGGCCACGTTCCCGCTGGCGTCATTGTGACCAGCTCAGAAGGCTGCCCCCAGGGTGACCCGAGGGCAGCGTATGTCCTGTCTGTGCTGGCTGCGAGGGATGGGCTTGGTGCTGCACACGCTTCACCCCAGCTCTGCCAACAGGCTCTCAGCAGAGACTGCAGATCCCTGGCGCCAGGGAGCAGCACAGCTCCAGAGTGGAGTGGGCAGGGCCCAGACAGGCTCCAGCTGCCCCAGCTCCCCACTGGGCCCCTCTGCACCCCATGGGTCTCTTGGGGCGGAGCTCCCCGCTGCACAGGCTGCATCAGTGCTCAGGAGGATACCTGCTTGCTGCACTTCCCTGGGTGCGGGCAGAGGCCCTGCGTGTCAGGTTTATTGCAGCCCAGGTGTGATGCTGGGAGGGGCGCTTGCTGCAGGTGCCAGGTATCACAGCAGCCTGGCAGATTGCTGGGAGCGAGAGGTGAAGGCAGTGGTGCGATCACAGCTGCATCCCACAGATGCTGGGCAGCGTTACAGGAGCGGAAGGGGGCTCAGCACAGGAGAGTTCCTAGAGCAAGCGCGGCGTGTCGGAGCTCTGGGGAGGGTCCCAGCCGCTTGGCAGTCTGCCCACTGCCCCAACACTCACGCACACAGGCCCCAGGACGGGGGCTAAAGGGCCTGACTAGGGATGTACAGGCAGGATGGGCCAGTCCGAAACTTTGCCCCACTCTAAGAAGTTTGGGCCCCTTTCCTTAACCCTCATCCACTCCTTCCGCCCCAATGCCAGCCCCGGGGGTCAGGGCAGGACCAGAAACCCTCAATACCAAGAGCCAGGCTTGTTGCTGCTGAGTGCCCTCTACCTGAGCCCTTGCTCACTGCTGGGTCACAGCCTACTCTCAGGGCCAAAGGAAACCTTCTGGCCTGGAGGAGGAGCTGGCCTGGAAAGGCGGCCCATTCAGTGGGCCTGGGAAGGAGCTGGGAGGACAGCTGGAGCTGGCTTTGGACACAAGGGCACCATTGGGCACAGGGCTCCAGAAGCCTGCCGAAAACAGCAGGGGCTGGGAGTGCAGATGCAAGAGGAGCGATATGCCGGAGAACCCAACTTCACCAGGGTGTAACCAGGCCCCTGGCTGGGTCGCATCTGCGAGGGACAGTGGATCTACCAGCCCAAGGCTCAGGAGCCCTCCAAACCCTCCATCCACAGACCAGCCACGACAGGGGGACAGAGCCAGTGTTAGCGGGGGTCCACTGGGAGCTGGGGGACCGGATCCATCTCAGTGCTAGGAGCTGTGCCCCACCCACGTTCGAGGGACCCGTTACCTTCAATGATCCCCCACTTGGTCTTGCGGCCCAGGACCCTCTTCCCGTTCACCTGATGCTCCTTGTCCGCTCCAACCACTGCGAAGGGGATTTTGTCCTGGACAGGAAGAGGGGGCAGAGTCACTGTAGAACTGGGACAGGCCCACCTCTCCGATCCGTGGGCCCTGGCACTGCAACTCAGGGGCAGGCTCCCTCCTCAGCGCTGCTGTCACTGCCCAGCACAGCTGCCCGTCCGCCTGTCCCAGCCAGAGAGGGACACAGAGTACCCCACCACAGCTAATCACCGCCCAGCTCAGCTCTTCGCCCCCCCCGCCCCCACGCAGCCTCCCAGCACTCACACGAATTTTATTATTCAATATCCTGTCGTCTGGGTTGTCATCAAAATCCTCCTGGGGATAGACGCTGATGCCGTGGGCCTTCAAGTCCTTCTGGATCTGCAGGAGACAGCGCCTGTGAAATTGCTCTGTGCTAGCAATGGAGTTGGCTACCGTTCATCCTAAAGCCCTCATGAGAGCATATAATCTCTCCTACCACTGAAATGTGG